GTTTCTTGGGAACAGAAACCTAAGGAACAGGGAATTCTGACACTCCTAACATTGATATTAGAATAAACGAAGTTGACTCTACTAAAACACATAAGAAAAACATTTACAGAGAGGGGTGTTACAGCTCCATGTCAATTACACTACTATAGAAAACGTTTTTTGTGTTCAAAGTAAAAGTTTAATGCCCTGACACGTGTTAAGTAAAAATTGAATTGATCAAGCAACAGTGATCGCTGATAAAATCAAGCAATCTGATGAGATCGTTTGCGAAAACAGTAGTCTATTGTTGAAAAAAAAAATGTTTATTTGTTATTGATTTTTAGAATACATCACATATTCATTTGCAACTATTACTTTTATTACTTCTTTCTGGATCAAATCGTGAAAACGTAGCTATAATTGAGCATATATTGTTTGTTGAGTACTTTTTAGTGTATTTGAAAGCGAAGCATGATATACTATACACGTTTCTGTTTCTACTTACTCTGGTTTGACTGATAATTGATGACTAAATGATGACATATTGAACATTCTGTGTAGGTTGTTGTCTTTGGGTCGAATGTGTTGTTGTTGAAGTCGTAAAGTTGCTTGAGAGACTTTTGACTTAATACGTTGTTGTCGGTCCATATAGATAACTTGAATGGCGATGCCATTTTCTCTTATAAACCTGAAAACAAATACAACAAAATTTCATTTTCATTTGGCGTTACAATCTTTCAATTCTTTCCATCTATGATATACTAACAACGAGAGAAGCAAGCGTGTCTGAATCGACTTATTGTAATTGGGCAAATAAAAAAAGAGTTTTTAGCGCAATCCTTCTAGGATTGAAATGTGAAACATGAGAGAGATGCTGATGCTGTAAACGTGGGATTTCAGGTTTCTATCATGGTCTGTTACTACAGCCTCTGTTATGGTCCGTGGGTGGACAGATACTAAGGCTTCTACCGCAGTCTGAGCGGGAAAGAGGAGGAAAAGAAATGAATCCGACTTTCTATCCAATGTACTTCAACAATTTTTTTGGATCGTGTTCTACAACAGAAATACAGTATAAAACTGATTCCGTCGTGAATTATCATTTTTCTGACTTAGATTCAGCCTAAATGAGCAAACATGCCGATTTGAACCTGCAAATAATGACCGTAATTAAGAATCGGGCGCTATCACGTCAATCTTGGCTGACAAACCTACTACAAATACTTACCCTTCATCGACCAACAATAATCAAGTTTACATCACGATGGAAGATAACAAAAAATCTTTGACAAATCGAATATTTAATAAAGTCAACATACTGAAAAAAAATTATTAACTAACTTTTTTGACAGTTTATTAAATTAAAAACAAACTATTTGAGTTGTATTACTTTTATATTCTTTTTGTCGTTGCCATTCATTAGTTTCAAAGAAAAAAAGCTAAGTTTTTTTCCTGAAATCAGTAGGAACTTCAGACATAAATGAAATTAAATATTGATTTAGTTAAAAAGAGATTTAATTATTTCTTCAATGATATACCATTTAATTTTATCTAAACATAATCTATTTCTAAATTAATTCAATAGATGAATTTAACAATATAAATAGCTATATTAAATTTACTTGATACCATTAGTCTTCTCGATAAGATTCATTTTTTTACCAGCCAACCATTTTCATAATGAACATTTCATAACAGAATAGTACCTTTATGTCCATCAAAATAAATAATTTTATTTGAATTGTTATTCAAATTGAGTATCATAACTATAAATTTCTAAAAACAAATAATGACTAGAAATGAATCAAATTTAAGATGAATTACCATACCTTGTACCAACAAACAGAAAAGATTAATTTAAACAAAGAGTAGATATAGGTTTGCTTCAATAAATAATTAATGACTCTAATAGTTAGAAAAATAAATTTAAATAGGAGAAAGTATTTTTAAAACAACTCGTATGTACAGTAGTGGAATAACGTTTTTTTTTACACAGCTAAAATGTTCAACTTTATGGGTATTCCCTACATATTATGGACATAATGATCTAGACTAAAGACTATCAAACATCTGAAATGCAAGAAAATAAAGAAAATTACATTATACAGTCACTATTCAAACTATAACCTTTCATTTTCTCCGTAACACATGTCAGTAATAGTATCCATTTTGAATGCATTTGAAAATTAGATAACACTTGACTTATTTTTACTTGTATTGTCGTGAGAAAAGATGAGAATAATTTATTGTTTAAAAAATTAATAAACGAATATTACTTAGAATGAAACCTTTTAAGTGATAAATAAATAAATATATATTTTTAAAAGTTTATTATTCGTTCCTCTGTTCATATTTCATTTTATGGAGCACATAGTAAATTAATCTATCTAATTCTTTCGTTCTGTGATTTCTCTTTTTCCATTTACCAATCTTGAATATCATTCATAAGTTATTTACTGTTAACTAATTATGTTTTATTTTTTAAAAAAGTAAAAACCAAAGTGTAATATGTTACTGAATTCTCATTATACAAAGTAAAATTTCAATAACTTTGCGAAGAATAAGTTTAACAAACAGTTTATCAAAAATTAAAAATGTAATGTATTATCTAAAGTAAGCTCATTGTCAAGTGAATAATGGATCTTCAAAAACTTGTAAATAATTATCATTTATCATCAATTCTGATTTCCTCGATCAATCCTTAAATAATATTGACATTTGTAGATAATTAAACACTTCATGGCAATCCTAGTGACTAAATATGAATTTCAATTCAGAGACTTTTTTAACATAAGACATATCATACGAATTATAATGTGTTACTATGGTAATACTCGCACTGTATAGTATACGTATTTTATACAGCAATCAAACATCTTCAAGTATGTTATTAGCTTAAGGTGAGCAAGAACAACATAGATGCGATATCATTTTCAGAATTTTAACGTCAAAATAACAACGTTATAAAGGTATTTTAAGGTTCACTACTTTCTCAATCATAAAAATGGCAGTGTTGACAGTTTGTAAAATTGCATGATATCCCTCATAGAATCATGATTTGCTATAATCATACTATAATAATATCGTCGAGTGAATATCTATTAATCATTGGTTTTATCATACAAGTCTCGTGCGATTGTTGCATACTTTTATGTTGTGCTCTGCTCACCAGTTTGAGAGCGCATTGCAAAAGTTTAATAATTATTTTTTTCATTTTTGTTTTCTTATATTGTTAATTATGTTTAGTTATTTTAGATATTCCTAGAACCCATTGGCTATGAGCTTCTACTAGAGAAACTCACATCATTCCTCCAAAAGTTGCTCTCTCTTATGGGTCCGATTTTGCTAGCAGTTACCTAGAAAGCTGCGAAGTTATGAGAAAGATTTTTGGCTTTCTAACAGGTATTCCTAGCAGTAAACTACTGGAAAACCAGCTTTTTCTACTAGGGAAAAAGTAATTTTAAGAACAAAACCTTGTTTTTTACTTAAAACTCAGAGGTTCAACTACTAAAATCTCGAATTTCCACTATGTTTCTGTAAAAAGCATATGGAAAACCCATGGCCTTCTATTCTAGAAGAGGAGAGGATAAATTCAATTAAGAACTAAGTTCGAAATTTTCTTTTAAAACAAACGGCAGTGATTAAGTGTAATCAAGCAGAGAAAGTGAGTCAAAGATAAGCAATAGGGAACTGCAAAATCACTTTTTTTAGTCCCGGTCCCGGTCCCGGTCTTTGACAATGGTTTCATTTCTAAAATCGAGCAACTTTTTTTACGATCTGTGTACTTTTATGAATACGTAAAATTGACATGAATAATTTTGATTCGTTAACAGTACGAAAATTCTTTTATATCCAGTGTTAAAGTGAAAGAATTTCACTGAAAGCTCGAATAAATAAAAATAACCATTGAATTGTGTTAAAAATTCTCATATACTTCGTAGCAGTCATTTACTTATTTCTCTCTTCTTTTATATCTACTGCTCTACCTAATGGATCTATTATCGAATTGATTATTTATACTGAGTAGCCATTACGATTGTCAAAAGATAAATAAACGGCGATACATATCTATTTACTATTATCTGATAAGACTTCAATAAAGGAATCATCAAAGAATGAATAAATTAAACTTACGTATATAGTGTTGTGTTGGTTGTTTTATATGTATTCAAAAACCTGTGCAATTGAAAAACTCAGATTCTTGCAAACAGACTCGTAATCAGTAAAGACTTTTATAGAAATAGCAAATAAAAATATCTGATTTACAGATCTTAAATCATGTCAAAATAATAATCGTGAAAATATATTGCATAAAAACTGACCGGGACCGGGACCGGGACCGGGACCACTTTGCAGTTCCCTAATAAGCAAGTCTCTCGGTGTAAACTTCATACTGAGAGGGTGTAAGTGTGAAGATGTGGGTTTGGATGTGACGCAGAGTTGGAGCCGGTTGAGAAATGGTAAACCGGCCGGTTGGAATCATATGTCCAACCGGTGAAATTCCGGTGAAAACCGGTTAAAAACCAGCGTAAAAAGGTCGAATTTTTTTGAAAACCGGTTTTTAGAAAAAATGGCTCTAACTCTGAAATAGTTTAGGGTGGATGTAAAAGATACTCATCATAATGAATCTTTTTAAAGAGAAACTCAGAAAAAATTATTAATATAACATATGTTTTGAGTAATTTTTCTATGCATTATAACAGAAAAAACATGTGACACCTTAGTTTTTATGGTCAAAAACAGAGTTAACAAAGAAGATTTTTGAACACTTTCAACTAATGAAATTCCGGTCTCTACCGGCCCGGTTGACTTCTTCAACCGGTCCGGTCCGGTACCGATTTGCCGGACTGGTTCCAATGCTAGTGTGACGACGTGGGTGTGAGTATGAGGATGTGAGTGTAGTTAAGAATCACATGAATCTATACCCACAACCACACTTTACACCGACACCCAAACCCACCCGCCCACATCCATCCTCGAGTTTGACAAAGCTCAATCTTAGTTAAGATTTAATTTTAGAGGGCATGGCAAATTCCTCTTTCCAGGAAATTCAAATTTCATCACATCAATAGTAAACCAAACACATAATGAACAAGAAGATTTTCCTATTCTAACTGAAAGCTGCTTAAAGCCGCTCAACCAAACAATAAGATTAAAAACCAAACAAAATTATCAGTACCCACATACTCTCATCAGTTCCCATTCAGTTATTTCTATCTAGTAGCGGCGCCAGGATTTCAGTTCAGGGTGGGCTCATCATGGGTTGAGCCCACCCTAACCCACACAAAGTGTTCTTTTTACATAGCTTTCAAAATCTTTCAGGGTGGGCTCGATGTAAATCAGGGTGGGCTGAGCCCACCCTGGCCCACCCCTGGCGCCGCCACTATTTCTATCAGATAGATACTGTATCCAGGAAGTGTAAATAGTCTAGTAGGTGACCGGACAATGTGTTGCAGGACAATTCGTCGCAACGATATAATCCAATTATAACTTATCATTGTTTTCTCATAAATGAATTGACCTATTAAGATAAGTTAGAAACACATAATTCAATGAGTATGACAATTGTAGAGACTATTTTTAATCACTAAACTTTGATTTTTGATTCCGAGCAGTACAATAATCGTCTGGTACACATAAAAAGTTAGGTTCTTTGAATTGTGTCAGCGGTAAAAGTTTTCTTATAGAAACAGAAGTGGTGTTGCATCTTTCTTTCAATTTCTATTGTAGCTCAGGATTTACGACACATGGAACAATAATTTGAGAAAAGAAGTGAAACTTAGTGTTCACTAACAAAGATTGGCTTTAGCATAACTAAAAAAGCTTTTGATCAAATCTTTTTATTATTTAACGTACAAATTGTGTTAGTTTAAAAATTATCAGCTCTTATTTGACATGTTTAAAATTAAACTATAGTTTGAATTCATCGATAATTTATACAGTGCTAACACTGGTGTTGATGATTTCTCACATTTGAGGTTTTTTCATCTCATCAGTATTAGTCGTGATGTATAAAATAGATCCGATTTTTTTTATCAAACCAGAATTTCTTATGACAGTACAACCCAAAATAAAAATTCAAAGTTTAGTGATTAAAAATAGTCTCTACAATTGTCATACTCATTGAATTATGTGTTTTCTAACTTATCATAATAGGCCAATTCATTTATGAGGAAATAATGGAAAGTTGTAATTGGATAATATCATTACGACGAATTGTTCCGCAACGAATTGTCCGACAACGAATTGTCTTGCGACGAATTGTCCGTGCGACGAATTGTCCACAACGAATTGTCCGCGACGAATTGTCCTGCAACGAAATGTCCTAGCACCAGTCTAGTACGGTTGGGTTCAGTTGAGTGAGGAAATTCATCTTAACTTACAAGTGACTATCTATATTTATTTGGGCTGGGTTGGGTTGGGTTGGGAAATTCAATTTTCCTTACAAGTAATCATAGATAATATGTACGTTTATTGAGGCTACCATAGCGTAAACTTAAGTTCGGAATTTAATTTTGAGTGCCTACAATTTTGTCGAATACAAAAAATGTCGATTGCAAATTTGTCGATAAAATTTGTCCACTCGACAATATTTAAATCGAAATTTGTCGAATTCGACAAATTTTATTAAAAAATGTCGGTTATGGTATTGTCAAGCTTCGTTTCGACGAATTTCAAATTCAATTATAATCACCTAAAATCTGACTTAAAATCAACTTGGAATCAAGTTGAAATTATGTTGAAATCATGTTGAAACCAAGTTGGAATCAAGTTGAAATCATGTCGAAATCATGTTGAACTGAAGTTGATTTCAAGTTGATTTCAAGTTGATTTCAACATAATTTCAACATGATTTCAACTTGATTCCAGCTTGACTTCAAGTCAGATGTTAGGTGATTATAACTGAATTTGAAATTCGTCGAAACGAAGCTTGACAATACCATAACCGACATTTTTTAATAAAATTTGTCGAATTCGACAAATTTCGATTTAAATTTTGTCGAGTCGATAAATTTTAGCGACAAGTTTGCAATCGATATTTTTTGTATTCGACAAAATTGATGTTTTCCTTTAATTTTCGGTGACACCCATAAATTGACTGCCAGCTTCTCCAAATACTTCCTGCCTGATATTTGGTTATCCAAGACCCTACCAACAACGATTAATTAAAACCTAGCCGTATAGAGCGCAAGGCCCCCATGGCAAGTGGAACCACCGTCGCAACGAGATCCACAAGCCACATCATATCAACACTCCCAACCTCATTAACACACATTCCACACCTGCACCCACACTCCACACCCGCACCCACACCCACACCCACACCCACCCACACACGATAAGCTAGTAGCTTTTCTCTACTATTATAAGGATAAAACATGGTGTTGTTCAGCCCGATCCAGGGTTATCTGTGATCCTCTCTCATACGCCCTGAACAATAGTATGTTTTATCGTTACAATAAAAAAAATATTAATGGGTCACCCGACCAGACTGGACATACCCATATATATATAGATCAATATTTATATTGATAATAGCATTGATTAATTGTTTTGTTTAGAATCCTTGGATCAGATTCAACAACTATCGATCGATGGGCTACAGGTCCTAATGATTATTGGGCAACAATTCAAATTGGTCTTACTGATTTACCAAGTGAAATGAATGCTATTTCAGAACGAATAAATGAAAGATATACACGTGATGATGAAGCTATTAATGATCATTTTCATTTATTAATCGATTTACTTCAAGGATATAAAGTGAGATAAAAGATTTTGATACATCATAAAATCAAATGATTTCATTTTAGGATTTATGTAAACGATTTGAAGAAGCATTACAAAATAAACAAAAAGCTATCCAAAAAAGCAAATAATCAACAAAGACGTTCAACAACAACTGATACAACACCAAAAGTAACGACACATTAGCTAAGTGTGGAACATTCAAAACATGACCCTCATTCTTAGAATATTCTTTATTTTCTAAAATACTGCAAACGAATGCTCCAACCTAAACATTTTTGTCGAACTTATTTGACTACATTTTTTAATAAGAGTATCTTTCAATAGTACTTTGTGTCACTCAATAGAATAAGCAAAATCATCTGAAGCTGCGCATTTTCATGAGTTTTGAAATGGATTCTTATGTACAATGTAGCCGAAGATTTATTCCTATACCTAACCGACCATCCGATAGGCATTTCGACCCCTCGATTTTCCACCGTCGATGTCTTCTAAGATACCCATCGCCGAGCCCTCGACCCATCGGAAAATGGCAAACCCAGGGGTCGATTTGAAATTCCGATGGGCAGACCTCGTGCCCCAGATAGCACCACGATACATATTACGAAAACTTCGATCCTATGCTTCTGCTACCTATCAAGTTACTCACCATCTAGCCTTGGACCCATCGAAATTTCAAATCGACCCCTGGGTTTGCCATTTTCCGATGGGTTGAGAGCTCGGCGCACCCCTCGCACGTCTTTTTTAGCTCACTTGGGTATGTTAGTGCTGCCTAAAGGATGTTTCTGACTGATTTATCAAAGTATCTGATGATCGTAACATGACTGTTGGTATGAGGTTGATTATTTCATCAAGATAATGCACTCTCACCCTGTTATTTAAATCAAAGATCACCACCCTCGCACTATTCTGAAGCGATTTTTTCCTTTCCAAGCATGTTATTCTTTCTTTTATGAACACAGCTAAAGACACGTATATATATATCAAAGAGTAAACGTTATCAGTTTTTTAGTGTGACACAGTCTATATATATTTTATTTCCTTTATTTGACGTCATAAAGATAAAATAATTATCGTGACATATGTTCACTTCTTCCCTCATATGTTCGTATTATGATGGTTCATATGACTGCGTACAATCATAGTATATTTTCGTGATCATATATGACGCAACAGAACCATACATGAAGAAATATCAAGTATTTAAACCGAGCTTGTTTCAAATGAGTGCTTGAAAAATTTGTCAAAAAAACTTGTTTCTCAATATGAACTTTTAATGAGGTGGTATGAAGCGGAGCAATGATCTTTGATTTAAATAACATTACAATGATGTCAAAACAACTCTCCTACTTTTCATAAGCGAGAAATACTGCCATCGAATAATTCACTTCAAAACTCATTGAACTGCATAATATCAGATGATTTTGCTTATTCTATTGAATGGCAAAAGAGTAGCATTGAAAGATACTCTTATTAACAGGATTCACATACATAGTCAAAAAAATTTGATAGAAATGTTTATATTGGATCGTTCGTTTGAAGTATGTTCAAAAACTATACACAACGTCAAATATTTGTCCTAACTCTGCTCTTTATATGTTAATCTATCTTTCTTTATAGAATGATAATAATCTTGAAACGATTGAAAAACGTAATAGACATGGTCTTAAATTTGTACAAATTGAAACACAATTAGTTTATGCAAATTTAGAAGCCTTTGTTTCCATCTTAAATAATCTTGATAATAGTCAATGCCAAGGATCATCGGATGTAAGTTCATCAAAAAAAAGAAGAATTTTTAAACTAATTTTTTCTTTATCTTCTAATAAAAGCTTGTCAATATTTGGAAATCATTTGCTAGTAAAGTATCTCAACGGCTTGTCCAAGCGTTACGGAATCACGTTTTTTTCGCATGTCTTTACAATATCTGGACGAAATGAAATAGTATAGGGCTGGAAATGTTCATAGACTATGTAAGTTGACTTCCCCTACACATGCTGAAAGTTTCATAAGATTTCAAGTTTTAATGCTGGTTTTATGATTGACAGATATGTACGTTACGGAATCACACAAAATGGACTCTGATTTTGAGTGCCGCTCAAAGAATTAAAAAACTTAGCTCAACTATAAACGCAGGAGCAAAACTCTCTCTATGACAATTGTAGCTCAGAAGCCTAGTTATATAGAAAAACAAATATAATTTACAAAATACGTATCGCTAATTTTCTGGGTAGAAAAAGGTGTCGTTACGGAATCACATTTTTCGTTACGGAATCACGTTTGAGAAATGATGATGTTTTTCAACATTTGTTTTCTTCAGAAATATAAAGATAGTTCCACAGAATAAACAATCTGATGTCATGCATGAAAAGGCAATTTGAAAAGTTCATCTTTCTCATAAAGTAAAAGGTCTTTTCGAAAGGGTCAGTTATATATAAAATATTGACATTTATAGAAGTATTGCATCCTAGGCACAGCCAATTCTAGTAAAAGTTTACTCATTCGACGTCATCAGTCTGATTGATATTCTCATAGTAGGTAGACTTAGTAAACATAGAAAGAAACTACAAATTTCACCCTAAACGAGTGAGTCATTATAGAGATGTAGACGTCACAATTAGAGATACTTAGACACATTTATAGTGATTTTCAGAGCAATACTTTCCAATAAACTTTGGTTTTCTAAATAACAACAACAGTTATAATACAGATTTTTTATCATAGGTACTACGGACCATATCCTATCATTTTATGGTATTGAAAGGATCGTATCAACTAATATTTTTTGATAGATGCCATATGCCATTTATAGAAGGCATGTCCAGTTCGATATACAAAGTTTTTTTGAACAAGACTAAGAACACAAATGACTCTAATAGTATAGATTAACGATTTATTCCCAGATGCTAGATTGATGTGATTCAGATGAACCGGCATCTCGATAAACTTCCACAGTCCAAATTTCGACTCATTTCGACATTATTGTGACACATGAAAGCCGATGTACTTTTCCAAATCTGATAAAGTGATATTCGATTCATCTAATTTTTCATACATATTTAAAAGAGAATGTTTCTTGGTGGTAGATCACTTGTGAGTCAGAACTATATGCCATAATATCTAATGATCGAAAGTATCTGTTCTAAAGAAATTCTCATTATAGGTCTTATTGTTTTTATAGGAGATCAAAGTTTATTGAAAAGCATTCTCTAGAAAAACACTACATACATGTCAAAATATCTCCAATTTAATTTCAATATCTCCATAATGACTCTCTCATTTGAAATGAAATTTTTAGTTTCTTGCCAAGTTTACTAGACCTACTTACTGTGACAATATCGGCCCAATCGGTGACATTGACCAAGCAAGATTCTGCTGGGGAATGGTCATCACTTATGCACAATGCCTCTCAAATGGCTTCTTGAATCCACGTAACAAATTTAGCTGAAAACTACCATAGCACAACTCCTAAATTAACTAATCGGACTCTACAATCACGTGTACACATCTTGACGTCTCATTAGTGCATAACTTCAGAGAGAGTTAATGTTTTCAAATTTTATGTAGAAAACTTGATCATTTGAGGGTGATTCCGTAACGGCCTGCTTGCACAACTAGAATGTTTATAAAAACAGGCAATCCATTGGTTGGATAGAGCACTAAAGATTGTATTTAGAGCACTGCTTTTTAGAATGAAAAACTTAGTGTTCTTGGCTAAAAATGAATTAAAAGGAATTTTCGTTACGGAATCACTTTCACCAATGTATTACCTTTACAAACATAAATAATTCTGCTGTAGATGTGACGAAACGTAGTCTTCTCGTTATAAATGAGTAATGCATAGAAAGCATTACTAGTTGGTATGAAAGGTTTCGGACAAGATATGTTTGTTTATATAAAAAATTCTAAAATAAAAATCTATCATAAATATTCGCCTTTAGTGCTATTACGACACATATCATTTGTAGCATGTATTTTTTAAAGAAATATCGTAACCAGGTAAATAAAAGATATATTTCTGTATGTTATCGACATCGCTCTATATGATGATCATATTGATTTCGATCAATTTGGTAGGTCGACTTCGCCCACCAAGGTATACCGTTACGTGGACAAGCCGTCAACTTGGACAAAATTATATAAATAAATTCCCAATACAAAAATCAACTACAATTGGATTGAAAAAATAATAAAAAATGAAGTTTTTTAAATTGATTTTCCTTTCGTGCTTTTTTTTTATTTTGTTTTAAAAGATAAATGACATTGATTAAAAGTTAAGTTAAAGATAAAATTTTAATTTTTAAAAATTTATGTTTGATTATCTCTATTCTATTCATTAAACAATTCAATCCAACGACCACCTAACAATTCTGGTGATAGATATGATTCTTGATTTGCTGTTCGTTGTTGTGCTCGATAACGGTTTTCACATGCTGCACCAATATGTCGTCTTAATAAAGTATGTTCATCTGGTAATATCACCATCTTTATATTATTAAAAAGACAAAAAGAAAATCAAATAGAAATAAAACCATTGAGCCATGAAAATATTTATATCTGACAAAAAAACGTACATAGTTTAAAAGAAATTCTTTATAATAATGAACGATGTATGAACACCTACGTTCTTTTTTTATCAATCTTTCATGAGACAGCTGTTCTTTATGAGATAGAAACTCGAGTGTCTATGACAGAAATGGGTAACATTGTTCGTCTTTTGATTAATTCTAAATCACGCACATCTCCACTACACATTAAAATCTGATTTGTATGTTAATCCAACATAACGTTGAGGAAATGAAATTTGATAAGAAAAAAACGCACGGAATCTACTTTTATTTACCACTTATGAATAATAATAATAACAATATCCATTAAAGTTACATTGAAGGATAACATACGTAACGCAGTTCATACTTTATATTAAAGTACACTAACATGATAAAAAGCAGATTTTTCTATTTTTTGTCTCTGTATATTATTAGTTGACACCTCTCCTTTTTTTTATATGAAAAAAAAGAGTAATATGATAAAAAAAAAGCGTTTGATCATTCCAATGTACTTTTAGCATACGAAAATGATAAATAATTAATTTCCCTTTAGAATGACATGAAATAGAACATGATTTTAATATAAATATAAGTCAAATCATTAAAGTGATTTATTCACACCTTTGATGTTGATAATCATTATATCAAACATTGAGTTCAAAAATCTCTTTGACGTCAATAGAGTATTTTGATAAGAGAAAAAAAAAAAGAGAAATTGAATATATTATTTCATTTCCTTGTTATCATAATGTTTTATTTTTGTGTCATATACATATGTAGAAAAAAAAAATATCTGACAAGATTAACAAACATGTTTCTATCTGTACGATCAATGAAAATATATCGAAAAAAGAAAAAAATAAATAAATAATAATAATAATATCTGATTAATGTTGCACAGGTTTCATTCGATTGATTTCTTCAATTAATCGTCGTCCATGTGATGACCAATCAACATCACTAACACCTACACAAGTAAATCGAGTCTTTCGTTCATTCTAATTGAATAAAAAAATATTTTAGATTCTTTTTTTTGAAAGATATTAAGAAAATTGATTTACATTATATTGTTCAGCTTTAGCACGAAGTTTAAAAATTCGTTCATGATTCATTGCTTTTCGAATGACATCTTCAATAATACTTTCATTTCGCTAGAATAATAAAATAATGTATCATTAATTATATTTTCGTAAGAGAGATTACTTACATTAAGTATATTATTACCAAAGTCATTAGCAGTCATACCAAGTAATGTTTCAGCTTCATTACCAGATACAGTGATCCATTGTGCACCGGTTGCATCAGAGATTTCAGCCTAAAAAAAGACAAAGTCAGAACAAAGTGCATCTTTAAAAAAGATGGAATTCGAAGATGCTCATTACGAGTACAGCAAAAAGCCGTTTTGTGCTCATCTCTGCTTTTCCGTGGCTTTTCAATAGAAAATGTTGGCATCTGGCGATCGACTATGCTCGATTCTGATCACTTCTCTCAGCGGACTGAAAAATCAGTCAACGCATCTGGACATCGCACTCCTGCTGCTACTTCTCGAGTTTTCTAGTTGGAATTAGTCCATTACGCCTTTCAATTGGATTGATAACTACAAATTGGATTTTTATTGCGTGCATCATAATCTAATCAGATAACTAATGAAACAGTTGATAATTTCACGATTAAAAAATAATTTTTGTTGCTTGATTACGAAAGTGAATGTTTTCAAACTTGTTTATCTTAAAAATAATTTTTTGAATGATTCTAAACGTCGATTTCTTCGTGACCGTGAACATGTCACCAGCAAATGTTTGTCTCGGATCATCAGTAATACAGCATATTGATCACGTTATGACATACCCCCGTCATCGTAACTAGTCAATATGTGTGGGGAGTGGAAAGGATTGAGCAGAACCACTTTGAGTTAGATCGGTCTTTTATACACAACTACAATTAGCGGTAAATACAGGAAAAGTATCGTGCTTTCGAAACTGTCTTCAAACCGTTAGTTAGCTGGACAAGTAACCAACCGATTACTCACAATAACCCTCGGTGCCTCAATAAAAAATCACAAAAACAGAAAACAGCTAAGGATTGTCGAATGGTTTGGATGGCATGGGTAACAAACTAACCCATGTCGCTACCTTTCAATTTCTCACTCGCATCTTGTCATAAAATCTTGCAAAAAGACATTTGTTACATACCGAAACCATATAAGACCATTCTAAATTATTATATGTTTTGTTACATTTTTTACATCTGTATGTTCCATTATTTTCATCTACAACTGTTTCTCTACATGTTACATCAAGACACAGCTATAAATAAAAATAAAAATTCTCTCTATTTGCTTTTTTTTCCTTTTTTTTACTTACCATATAAGCAACTCTATCTTTTTTAATTAATGTACTCATTGCTTTAACATTAACATAATCAGGTTCATCACCTAAACCAAGACCTTCAGCAATGATTTGTGAAAATGTTTTAAATGCAGATTTATCTTTTTTGCTGAGCTCTCTTTTTGCTCGTCTTGCATCAGCTACATCAGCATCGATTCCACTTCGATAGAACTTTAATTTTTTATTATCTTTTTCTTTTTCTAATGCTTCAATTGTTTCTTTTGGTGCATTATTTTGTTTCGCATTATCAACAGCAAGAAGTGCCACTGCATATTCTTGTTCTTGATCATCTTCAATCGTACATTTTTTTTCAACCTAAATTTTGGAAAAATTAGGAACGTCGAGAAAAAAAAATTTTCAACGTACGTCATCTGTTTTAGTATCGATACCTCCAAGAAATTTGTCTTCGGCTGCCATGTTAAATGACTATAAAATAAAATGATGTTTACAATTTTATTTTCGTTTGTCACGTCTCTTTCTCTCTCTCTCTCCGATTCTTTTCGTCGTTCTCCATATTATTGTCAGTATTTACATGTATATATGGAGAACGACAAAAAGAAATGAACCAAGCAAGACAATACAAAGGAAAGCAAACTTTTTGGTTAGAATTCAATCTAATAGTCTTAACTCTGGAAGAACAACTTATGAGGACAAAATTTCCTAAAGTGTCATCAAGCTCTAAACAATTGATATACATCTGGTTGACGCATGAGCACTTCCTCAAATATTCTCTAATGGATCAGTGCAAAAGATGGAAGATTCTTCAATACCGTACTAGAAAGATGTCTGTAGTAACTAATAATCTGTTGCTGTTGCACTATGACAGCAGCAGCGTCACTACTGCGATGGATACTTCTGATGTGTAATTAGATCAGAAGCGAAGTAGATATTTATCCTCTCTCCGGTCCGATTTCTTCCATTCGGTCATACTAAAACATCATCATTAAACTTAACTTTCTCTAAAAAAAGATTCTTCTCCAATTTTAAAAATATAATTATACCTTTCGATAAGTATTTTTATCTGGTGTAAAAATATTCATTTGATCATCCATTGATAATTTTGAATGTAATGGAATAATATCATAATTAAATTTAATACATTCATCATAATCATCTGGATTAAATTACACTGAATCTGGTTTTCCACGTGGAAAACGTAAAGTTTCATAAACAGTTTGAATTTCAAGTAAACCAAGAAGAAAAACAAGTACAGTAGTACGTTTAATAGGTAAATTTTTCGTGTGATCCCAACCGGCCATACTATCTTCATTATCAAAACTTTTAATTAAGTTAACAGCAAGATTAATTGCTTCACGAGATAAACGTGCTTTAGTTAATTTTAAGTCGGATAATTAAAAAAAAATAATTTTTCTATTATTTTATATTAATAAAATTTCTTTTAAACTTATAAGACCATAATTTTGAATATGTTCTAAATACATTTCTTGAACATCAAAAAGTTGATCATCAACATTAAATTGATAAACTAAAAGAATTTGTCCATTAATAACTTGATGAAAAAAATGAGCTAATTTTTCAACATCAATTGTTGCTGATGTTAATATTATTTTAACATTATGAGAATTTTGTAACCATAATGTACGAATTAATATTAATAGAAAATCCATTCATTGATCACGTTCATGAACCTACGAAAAAAAAACAAAAACTTTATTTTTCTTTGTATTATTTAAAACTAACTTCATCAAGAATAATATGTGTAAAATCTTGAAAAGTTTTTGTTAAAATTAATCTTTGTAAAAGAACATCAGTTGTACAATATAAAATTCTTGTTAATTCACAACGTTGTTTATTTAAACTTGTTTGATAACCAACTGTTTGTCCAACAGGCCAATTACGTGATATTGATATATGTTCACAAAGTGAACGAGCAGCAATACGTCGTGGTTGTGTTACAACAATATTAACTGGTTTGGATTGTTTTACTTAATCATCTAATATATATATTGTGGAATTTGTGTAGATTTTCTTGATCCAATATTTCCTTGAATAATTGTTATACAATTTGTTTCAATTATTGATAATATTTTATCTTTTTGTGAATAAACAAATAATGTTGTATCTTGATTAATCCATTCTTTTATTTCTTTATAATCATCAAATGTTTCTAATGCACGAGATATATCAAATATTTGACGAATTACTTCTTTATCAGCTTCACTCTGACCACCATCGGGATCTGTTTGACTTTCAATATCAGATAAATGTTCACGATCACCATTGCGATCAAGACTTAATTGAGATAAACGATTATTCATTGATGAACTAACAGTTGTACTACCAAATTGTTGACTTTGTTGAACTACTTATTGTTGTTTCACCATCAATCAATATCACTAATTACACCTTTATTCCAACACTACAATTATAAATTTATTTTAGAACGAAATTCTGAACATTCGAAACTATTCAAAAAAAAACTAATGTCCCAACTTTTCTAAATGCACTTATTATAACGCATTGCAAATTGAAATTTCTAGTTTCTAATAAATATTTTAACACTTAAATAAATGATATATCAGAAAAAATATTTCCAGATGCCTTCAAAACTATGCATCAGTTGTTTCACTTCTACTATAATTTAGCTAAAACATATTGTCATAGTTAATGTATTCTGCGTATGAATTAATATGAGTGTGTGAGGACGAATGTACTTAAACTGTAGCTATACATCAAATAAATTTCCTTTTTTAGGTGTACACTACAAGGAAGTAAATTTCCATTAACATTTCAATATTTCATCTGATTAATAGAAAATTATTAATCTCATCAGTATTCAGACATGTTCTTCCACAAGTATTGTGCTGACAAAGCAGTATTTTTATACTCTTCTCGGTCAACAGAGTTTAAGGAACAACTCAAAAAGATTTCGGGACATAAAATAGTTTGTTTCACAGGGCTTTAGACTGAATCCATGCCATTATTTTTTATCAGTGAGGTATTTGACAATATAAATATGTGATTCCTCTATCGTACATCTTCTTCTTTCGATTTCTCTAATCATTAGAAGCATATATCGAGTTGTTTCTCTGTCACAAAACGACTCTTCCATTCTTGCAGATCTTCACATTTTCAGCATGAATCAGAAACATAAGCGAAGATCCTCAGCATGGTTTCAAAGATATTCTAAGAACTATTTATAGACAATTTCAATAAAAATAATTCCAACTCTGAAAGGAAGATTCCGATATCCAAAGTCTTCTAGTAAAACTTTAAAAATTAATTTATTTTACTTGTAAGAATTCATTATCATATCTTTGTTGAAAATCCCGAGTATAAGCTTTTTGATCAATTAGCAACAATTGTTTTCTTAAAAGAAAAAAAAAAAGCCAAATTCAATTTATAATTATTATCAATAAAAAAAACAAAAGATTCACTTTTCATGAAATGTAGCATATGGAATAATTTCCATTTTATTTTTATTCAATTGTTGCATTTCTTTTTGTTGTTGTTTAAATGATGTTGGACGAAGATATTGAACAGTTTTCTGTTCAGTAACATTTGATGTTGAAATATCAAGTGATTTCTAAAAGATGTTGGTCGTATGGGAATAATACGAAAATAATTTCAATATCTTGTGCACTTAAAGATTCAGTAGCAGAATATAAAGAATTTCCAGGACCATAACTTGGTATGATTGTTTTTTATTTGATCGATGCTCGACGATCATGCTGCATTGATGTCGCCATTCTTTGATTTAACTATTTCCAATTGATATAAATAAAATAAATTTGTATTATATACGAAGACTTTTTTAGGAGAGAATTTAAGAACCAATCAGAATTGACGATTGAATCCAAGGGGGAAAAAGCGTCAGTTAAATCAGCTGAAACTCATTTGAAATCACAAAAATCAAGTAAACTCATTCTAAATCACGAAAATCATTTTAACTCATTTTAAATCACGAAACTCACATTAACTCATTTTAAATCACAAAAATCACTTTAAGTCAATTGTAACTCACTATAAATCGGAAAATAGCGAGCCGTAAGTTTATGATTTAAAATGAGTTTCTGTGAGTTTTGTGATTTAAAATGAATTTATGTGAGTTTTATGATTTAAAATGAGTTTATGCGAATTTTGTGATTTAAAATGAGTTTACTTGAGTTTTATGATTGAAAATGAGTTTATCTGAGTTATATGATTTAAAATGAGTTTATGTGAGTTTTCTGAGTTAAAGTGAGTTTAAAGCTGATTTAAATGGACTTTAAACTCATTTTAAATCACAAAAACTCATTTTAACTCAGAAAACTCACATAAACTCATTTTAAATCACAAACTCACAATTTGCTTTTTCCCCCTTGATTGAATCTCTTCATAGAATTTTTAGAATACAATAAAAAGGATATTTTTCAAAAGTTTTTTTCATTTTTTTAAATTCTACGATTAGTATTTTTATATAGAATGTCGTGTAGACACTTTAATAAAATAGAGGGCGTCACTTCACAGTGAACAATTATTCTTCAACCAACTTTAGAATGAACTGGAAATTATATTATTCGAGCACAATGGTTATCGAATAAGAATCAAGCCCAATTAGCTTTATTAACAGCAGATTTTACTAAAATTTATGATTTAAGTACTGATACAACTAGTCCAATATATTATTTTATTGTTCCAACAGGTAATTTCATGTTTTCGTGCGGATCCGAGTTCTATGATTGATATTAGATTTAGTCGCTAAGTGGTAAACTAGGCATTCGGCCGGAGAGAAATGGTGCATGTCTAATGCTCGCGCTAGGATAAAAGAGGGTGATTGTAAGCTTCCAGGAAGTGACCTGCGGTTTTGAGAACGTTGCAACTCGTCACGATTTTTTGACAGGGTTATCGTAACGAATTTTACAGAGTGGTCGTAACCGGTGTTTTAATATATACCATTACATAGCTTTCGTAACGAGAATCATGTAATCTCTGCAAACTAAGGCCAGCTATCATCCACATCTTCAATACGAAACTCCTGTTGCTTCATTGCGAAAACCCTGTATTAGCAGTTGCGATCGTCCTGTAAAATTCGTTACGAAGGCCCTGTTTTTTGTCGCTCTTCCTATTTTGCTGGTTATGAAACCTCTGATTTTTTCGGTTACGATAACTCGAATCGTGACGAATTGCAACATTCCCGCGGTTTTCAGTAATTGAAAGAGAAAAATTCTGGACGTCTTTTTGTCTGATATTAGATAAGATATAATTTTAGTTTTGATATGTGCTTCAGATCTATAGTTTGAAACATAATTCAGATGATTGTCTTCTCACATCGCACTGTTGAGCAAACGAAATCATGTATACATCATTGTCATGCATATTTTTGAGCATTTTGCGAAAATGATGGGTTTTATCTTAGATAATATCAGACAAAAAGACGTCTGGTCTTTTCTTCACTCAATTGTTGAAAACCTCAGATCGCTAACTAATGCCATTGTTGAATTATTAAGCTTACACATACTTCTCTTCAATTCTGACATAGACATTAGTTAGAATCTTGCTGATGATTGAGAACGAGTGTTGTTTTTCGAAAACTATTGATAATCATCATAAACACTGACACCGGCAGACCATATGAATACGTCAGGTAAATCCATGATCAATGATCCAGTGTAGTCTGTCCGTCAGGAATTACTGATATCGCACATTGTTACCTGCTAGGAACGTATATTTCGCAACTCCTGCATCTGCATATGTTACATGTATCTATTCAAAATTTCTATTCATCTTAATATTATCTCATAGAGAATGTATCAAAATTTGATCCACCTTAATTTTCATTTAGGCAAAGTCCGTGATTGTACATTTTGCTATACAAAACGAAATAATATCGAATATTGTTATATTTTAATCATGGCTTCAAATGGTTGCATATATTATGACCAATTATGTGATTCATCATCAGTTCGTAATGGTTCATTTTATGTAACAAATACTCTCGATATAAAACATGAAAGTATAACTGAAATAAATAATAATGGAATTTTACTTGGTGGTGGTGTATCTGTTTATTTTTCATCAACATTAATATTATTATTTTGGTCATATGTTCATGGAAAAAATTTCTATGGTATTATTGATGAATCAAATATTTGAAAAATTATTAATGATTTATTCAATAGATGTGAAAATGACACCAACAACATCATCAACAAATGGTAATAATAAATCAACTTCAACTTATCATACATTATGTTCATGATCAGAAATTCCACATCATCCTGGTTTAATTTATACAATGACACAAATGACAAATAATCCTGTTATTTTAATGATAACACCATCAATAGTACGTTTAACTGTATCTATCAATAGAAGACTTAAATATTCGTTATACAGATCTTGGACCTCAAACGGTATCGTAAATGTTGACATTCAATTTTAAGTCAGAATTGAAAAATATTTAAATTTCACGTTAGAATTCGTGAAAGATTACTATTAGTCTATCAGATATAATACCAAATTAGATCATGTAAACTTTCATGACACACAATCGTTCTACGATTTTCAGAATTTAATTAACTGAAACCTTTGAGGCTGCGGTATTATTTGTGTATTATAAAAAGTATATAATATATGAGAAACGTGGTGAGAAAAAAAAGGATGACCTGACTGACACATGACCTGTCAATGAACGAATCAGAATGATTCATATAAAGAAAAATGGCATCATCTCTGTTCTTTATACCCTGTTATTTGTGACATGAATATTTCTCTTTCATTGTTCTCTCAGACGGTAATGAAAAAAATAGGTATATATATATATATAAATCAACACAATTGAATTGAATGAATTAGGCATGAACATTTCGAACAAGCAACATGTCCATATAGTCGATTTGCCCAATGAAATTTTACTTACAATTTTTAACAAATTAAATATGGTTAATGTTCTCTATTCACTTGTCGATGTTAATCAACGGTTTGATCAATTAGTACTTGATCCACTTTATATTCGTAATCTTGATATGACTTCTATGATGATGAAATCATATCATGATCGTATCTACTCTATAGACAATCAAGTTCTTTCAAGAATTTGTAAAAATATTTTACCTCAAATTCACCATCAAATATATGAACTCATTGTTGAACAACATTCAATGGAACTTGTTCTTCATACTATCCATTATCCACAGCTTTACTCATTATCACTAATAGATTTTCAAGAAGAAGTACTTCTCAAGTATTTAAGAGGTATAAACTATTTAATATTCTTTATTTTAATTAAGACAATAGTGAATTAATTAGACATAAGTTAATAATCATTTTTCTTTTT